CACTTGTTTGGATTTTAAACATTGTTGTCTTTCAAAAATAAATTATGTTATTTATGATTAATTAAAATTAAATAGTTTTCTTTCTTGTACTTGTCATTGCCTTATGGTCTTTCTTCTCCTCCCTATGATCATCATTGGGTGCAGAAATATGAAGAATGTAAAAGCAGTTCATTCAATTTATAAGACCTCGATAATTTGCCTTCTAACAAATCTAATTAAGCATTAATCTCTCGATTAGTGCATAAGAATCGGAGAGAAATCTGAGGGGAAGAAAAGCAAAACCTGGGTGGGGTCAGCATGTAATTAGCTGATGTGGATAAGATTTGCAGAAATCTGAGACTGACAAAAGCATTTTCTTTTCTTTTCTTTTCTTCTCTTCTCTTTTTTTCTTGGCCATACGACAAAAGCATTTTCTAACTTGAGCTTAATTCTTTTTTTTTTCCCCCCCCTGAACTAAGTCAGTCAAAAAAGAAGGCTCCTGCAGAAGTGAGGAAGGCACAAGGTGTCAGCTAAAAGGCAATTGCATGGCTTCAATGGAATTCGTGTGAAATTTCACCCATCTCAAGCATAAGTTTTTGGAAAGATTGCATTAACATCCCATTCAAAAAAATTAAATGCAAAAAGCTCTCTTAAGATCGTTAAATTGATATGAAATACTAAGAGAATTCATTGCAAGATATTTCACTTGTTCAGTTATTAAATTGCCCTCACTTTTTTACATATGTATTGACAATAGAAAGAGCAGTCATTAACAACTTAAGGTACAACGATTAACATTTATATGGTAGGTATTAGCAACCCATGTATTAAATCTTAGCTCTGTGATGCACTAATAAAATGTATTGTTAATACATATTGTCGTAGTTGTTACTCGTTGCATCTTAAATTGTTAACGACAGTCTTTTTTCAGTTGTCAATATGTACTTTAAAAAAATGAAGATAATTTAATAATTGAACAAGTGAAATATCTTGTAATAAGTTCTCTTAGGACTTCAAATTAATTTTATAATTTTAAGGGATTTGTTTGCATTGAATTCTCTTAAGTGGGGCTTTAGTAAAATTGTTCCTAAGTTTTTCTGCAAAGCTCTAGTCTTACTTTTATACCATGAATCCTAATTCTTTTTTTTTTTTCTTGAGTAGGCAAGCAGAGCTTGCAGGCAGGAATCGAACCCAGTTAAAAGCTGCTAACATGTGGTTACCATGCCACTGTGCCACACAAGCGCCAGCCCAATTCTTTTATATTTTAATAACTAATTAATATTATGCACTTATGTATTTTTATCGAGAATTTTATTGTTGTTTCAAAATTCAATTGACTTGATATGGTTGGTAAAGAAATTGTTGTTTGAAAATTTTATTAACTTGATATGTTTTTTTGGCAAAAAAATGACTTGGTACAATTTTTATATAGAAAGTATGAGTGCCATACTGCTATGCAACAGGAACTTTTTACTCTTTTTTTCTTCTCAGAATTTCACTGCACTCTTACGGTAGTCAAATAACTTCCATTATATGGGTGTCCTTCAGGCCCAAAAAAAAAAAAAAAATATATATATATATATATTGGTGTCCTTGATATCTTTCTTAAAAAGAATTCAACCATCACCTGTTGCCAAAATTCCAGAAGAAGTGACAAGGAGTGTTTGAATCCATAACTCTTACCTTACTTGGACTAAGAGAAAATTAGGGAGGAAAAAAATTTAGAGAGAAAAACATGATGAGAAATGAGTTTTCTTTTGCTTCAATGGGAAAACAAATATGAGATGAGGGAAAAGTAGGAGAGAAAATAAGGTAAGCCCATGCCTTATTTTCTCTTTAAATTTTCTCTTCATAAATGGAGAGATCTAGAAAGAAAAACAAGATTTCTGTGATAACCCCTTCTCTTTCTTCCTCTTCATATTTATTTTCTTTTATTATATTTAAAAAATTATTCACCTTTTATTTTTTATCTTAAAAAATATTTTTATTAAATAATTTGGTGTTAAAATATAATAATATGAAAATATATATAAAGCAAATAACTTGATTTTAAGTTATTCGATGATGCTAATGTTAGTATAACATTCCTATTGCAATATTTAATTTGATATAATTTTGAATATGATATATGTTTATTTTCTTTCCTCACTATTTTCTCTCATCTATCCAAACAAGAGGGGTGATAACATTTTTTTTTTAAAGTTTTCTCTTCTTTCTATTTTCTCTCCTTCTATTTTCTTTCCTCTCAATTACTTTGCTTCCCATCCAAACATAACATTGTCTGAAACCCTAATAAATTAATGGCCATCAACCCATCAAACCCGTTTAAGCATATAGTGCAGGAAAAAAAGAAAGTAACAATCTGAAGTTTCCACGACTTTACATCATAGCAAGGGTATATGGAGGTGTGGTCTAGCAATCTAGAACTCATATCCCATCAATTTGTATCCAAGTCAATTTTGAACATTCTCAATTGATTTTCTTTACTCTAACAACGAAATTCTTATTTCAAACAATCTAACAAAATTAAAGGTAATTAGACATTTAGTGTGAGGAGGGGTTATATTATTAAATAAGATTAATTTTAATGTAATTTTTAATTAAGAAAGTATATTTTTATAATTTTAAAAAATATTTTTAATTATGTTAACTATTAAAACTAAGATGTACGAGTAGGTTTCCAAAATTAAGAAAAGTTTGAGTAATTAAAATAAAAATAAAAGGAAATTACAGTATCTTACTCAAATTTTATTAAAATTAAAAACTCTTCTTCCTTTCTCCTCTTTCTCATCTCTTCTCTCTCCCCTTGTCATTGTCTTCTTTCTCTCCTCGCTCATCTCTCTCTTCCATCCTCTTTTTCTTCTCTCTTTTTAACTAGAAGTGTTCATGAAACAGAATAGGATTGTGTTTCATCTCATCCCAATTGTCCCGATTCCAATTGGAACGGGAGGAATTGGGACGTGTTACGGAAATTTTATTTTTACATTCAATAGGAAAAATCATATCATTATTTTGATTTTAATTTTTTTAACTAAAAATAATTAACCAAAAGCATATTCCTTCCAAATATAGTTATAAATATTCGAATAACATGTAATTAAGTAATAATAGTGAATGTTTAATTTAACTAGCAAAAAAGTCATGCCATTTTTTTAGTCTAAATATATGTTGACTAAAATGTATTATCGTATTTTATTTAGTTGACCCTTGTTTAATTTAAATTTTTAAAAACATCTTTTTGTTTTTATAAATATCAAAAGTAAAAAACTTATTTAAATCTGTGATTTCTATTTACTTTTTTAAACTTAGTTTTTTTTTGTTATTAGAATATACAAACAAAAATAATCTATAACAACAATTTTAAAAAAATATGCTTATATATTCCAGGACAAGACAAGACGGGGTGAGGTCATCCCGCTCCCATCCCAACTTCATCTTCTTCATCCTGATTTTGCCCCGTGTTATTATAAATGAGACTGGGGGTGTTTGGGAATGCTTAAAAGTGCTTTTAAGAAGCATTTTTCTGCAAAACGAAATAAATTCCTCTACATATTTATTTCGTAAACCGTAAAAGTATTTTTAAAACCATAATTTAGTTTATATCCAAACACTTCTTGAGACAATCAATATGAACAACCCTACCTCTAACTCCCATTTTCCTCTCATTCTATGTCCTATCTTCTCTCTCTCCTCTATGCCCTCTTACTAATTTTCAATTAGTTTTACTTTTAGGGACATTCTTGTCTTTTTATCATCTTCTTTGCCAATCATTCTTGTCTTTTCATATCTTAGGCATTCATTTTCGTCTGTTGAATTCCATTTGTTTATTTCTTTATATTCCAACTGTGATTGAGTCCGCAAATTTCATTCCCAAGGCAGTTTCTTTTTCCCTTTCGTATCCAATTTATTCCCTTCAAAAAATCTTTCAATTATACTCTCTCCACTTTTATTTATAAACATTTGTTAACAACTTGACAAATCAAGATTTAAATTGATGATATAGAAGTTCTCATATTTATATTATGTCCCTCACATTTATATTATGTTTGGACGGAGAAAACAGTAAAAGAAAAATAGAGGAGAAGGAATACTACCAAGGAAAACTTCCAAAAATAGAAAAACATGTGCTATTTTAAGGAGTTTTGTTAGCTAGTATTCTTTCCACTCCAATTTTCTTTCCATCCAAATAACGGTTTGATGCTCATAGTATCTTAAATATAATTACTTTTAATAAGAGAATATCTGTATTTATAAAAAATTAGTTAAAATTAATTATTTTCTATAAAATAGGAAAAATTAAAAAAAACTCTTAAATTTCAAAATCCCAAATCAGAAATTACTATAAAAATATGTTGTCATTTATTTTTCCAAGTGTAGTCAATTACTATTAAAATATAGTAAACAATATTGTTTTGAAATTTGATTTTGGAATTTCCCCTATAAAATGTTAAAATCACTCTCAAGTAAACTTTATTAATTAAAATAGTTCGAGTATTTAGAAAATTTTACAGTTTCCTTAGTTAGAATATTAAGTAAAAAAATTATTACTTCAGTAAAAGCATCAGAAGTTGTTATAACGGTAGGGAGTATGAAATAATCCTAAATCAAGGACAACTTGAACTTTTTCCGTGCCATTCTATACAATTCATAATGAGATTCATAGGCTTTATAGAATTATAGTCCTGGAAATGGAATCCTCCATGCTTGTTTATTTTTAATTTTTTGTGACTAACTGGCTCCTCTGTCATTTTTGTTTGGAATGACTACATGTGCCCCATAAAACGAAATTCCATTCCACGAACCAAAAGAAAGAAGCATCTCTTTTCTCTTCCTCTCTTCTTTCCCTCACATTTTCCATGAACCAAACGTGGCCTCAGTTCGTTGGTTGATTCAGATTTGCTGGCAGGAACAGCATTGAAGCCCTGGAGCCATATGTGATTGATTAATTTATATATTTAATTTAAAAGAGTGAATCATATGCAAAATGTTATCTCTGACCCATATCCGAAGATAAAGAGGCCAATTCTACGATTCCTCTTTCCATTCCACAGTCCTCTTCACAGTTTTCACGTCCCCATTTCTTTTCTCTCTCTCTTGAGACGAGCAACTTCATCTCTGTTCAATTCTCTCTCACAATTCATCAACAGTTCCTGAAATCTATCATGCCCTCCATTTTCTACATACCCATCAATCTATTACTCTCGCACACATATTCTTTTTTTTGTTTTGTTTTGTTTTTTTCCAATCTTCCTTCATGAACTGATCACACTATCTTCTTTCTGCTACCCCAAATCGTTTCAGAGATACCCACCTTTCAATTTCCCTTCTCAGGGTGGAGTTTCTCTTTCATTATTTAGTTTTCTTGGAGGAGATTCTTGTTTGGTTCATGGGTCATTGTATTTCATAGTTCGTCGTTCATACTTCACTCAGAGTTTTCTGTGAAGATCAGGAGCTGCAGGTGGAAGAGGGCATAAGGTAAGCTAAAGCTATGTTGGATCTCAACGTCGATATGGAAGGTCCTCAGCCCCAAAGGGAAGAAGACTCTGGGTCTGGGACTTCCAATTCCTCTCTGCTGAATTTCGAAGAATCTCGAGACGAAGATTCTTCTGCTTTCGTATTCGACATACTGAAGAGAGAAACAGATTGCCGGGTTGAGGGTGAAGAGAAGGAAACGCTAGAAATCACGACAAGGCCACTTTTCCCTGTGAATAGTGATGACAAGGGACGCAGAGATTGTGATTTCCGATTGGGATTATCATGTTCGAGAAGTAATCAATGGCTAAACCTGTCATTTGCTGAGAGTGGTGCTGCTGGCACGCAAGCTGAATTGAGCGTGTTGCAGCAAAAGCAACCCCAAATCAGGAAAAGCAGAAGAGGGCCCAGGTCTCGAAGCTCACAGTACAGGGGTGTTACTTTCTACCGCAGAACTGGTCGATGGGAATCCCATATATGGTACACAATTAAAGTTTTGTGATCATAGGGTTTTTTCCATTATAAGAAATTTCCATGTTTCTAAAATTAGAAACTACACCTGAGATAGCCTTTTGATCCCTTCCTAAAAGTTTTGACTTAGTCAACACGTTTTCATACATGAAAGTCCAATAATCTGCTGAATTTGGATGCTAAATTTGGATGGATCAACTGTGCCAAGCACATAAATAATATAGATAACTATATATGATTAGGTTTGTCTTATTTTGGATAAATATGTGAAAGAAGTGGATCACGTTGGACCCTTTTATGAAACTAGAGGGATGAAAAGTTTATTAAATACCAAATTTGTGTGTAGGTGTTATGACTTGTTTGATGTTGTCAGTTCACTCTGTTCTTTCTTTCTGTGAATGCAGGGATTGTGGGAAGCAGGTCTATTTAGGTGAGTTAATAATCACTTGGTGTTAAGTTTTGGTTCAGCGGAGATTTGATTGGGTACTTTAGTTTTTCTCTTGCTGATTTGGCATATTGGGTTTTGGTTAGGTGGATTTGACACTGCACATACTGCCGCAAGGTGAAAATTATATTCCTCTGTCGTGAGCGAATAATGGGATTTTTAATTCTTCATTTCAATGTTAAGTTCATGTTTGTCTATGCAGAGCATATGATAGGGCTGCAATTAAGTTCAGAGGAGTTGATGCTGATATAAACTTCAGTCTGAGTGATTATGAGGAAGACATGAAGATGGTACTGATATAATGAGTTAAATGAACAAGATATTGCAATTTCTATTCTTCTTTTATGGTTTTGGTGTTTTTGTGAGGGGGGGCATCATGTTATTGCAATGTCTTCAAGTCCTGATTTCCTGAATAAATTTTGATTGGAATGCAGATGAAAAGTTTGAGCAAAGAGGAGTTTGTCCAAGTCCTTCGCCGCCAATGCTCCGGTATGCCAAGAGGGAGCTCAAAATATAGGGGTCTATCTCTCAACAAATGGGGTCAATGGGAAGCACAAACTAGCCCTTTCGTTGGCAAAAAGTGAGAAACCCTCCTTCAAGCAAACTTACTCTTCATCTTTCGTTTCTCATTATGATTAAGGTGTTTTTGGACTTTGTCTTGACTTTTTTGGGTGCTAGGCAATATTAAGGACGTGTCATCTCCCATTGCCTTGGTGCATTGAGAATTTTTTACAAGTGTTTTGTAGAGAAACTAACCTTACATGTTATAGAGAGATGATGTCTCTTCCTATCAACTAAGCTAATTCCTTTAGGTGATAATTTTCTGTAGTTTAGTTCAACCTAAATGGGTATTTTTCTTTTCCTTTTTTTTACATGTAGGCTTTATGACAAGCTACCCATCAAGAGTGATGGAAGAGGATTGGTAACTAGCTTTGAGCCTAGCAAGGGAGAGAGAACTATTGAATCCAGCAGAGGAGGTACGAACTATGAAGATATCATATTGTTTGGCTCCTTCCTTTGTTTTCTTTATCATGGGTGAAAACATTGCTTCTCATTTAATACTTGATGTTGCCAATTAATGCAGGGAATTATCAAAATCTTGATTTGAGCCTTGGAATTTCTCCACCTTGTAATGAATCCAAGAAGAATGATGCTGCGAGAGGCCTTTCTCTTCGTTATACGGCTTGTGAGACACCAAACAAGGGAGGGCAAATGGTATCATTCTTTTGGCTTTAATTTGTTAAAACTCAGTGTCTTCATTATATATCTATATCCATACCTGCAGAGACGTATATATTTATGGAAGTTAGAGAGAAAGAGAAATGCTGAAGTTAATAATCTTTAGCCCCTTTTACAGGCTGATAGCACTGGTGCTTCATTAATAAGGGGACAAGCCATTTATGGTGTGGAAATGCCATCTAAATATGACCAAATATGCTCTGGCTTGTATCCCGGTTATGTACAGGATTATGAGGTATCTATCTTCCCTTGTTTACTTTTGAGTTCATCATGTTTTCTTCACCCTATGTGCTGATTTCAAGTCCCGGTCTTTTTAAAAAGTTCTTGGTAGTATTTGCTTTAAACAGGAAATTACCTATTTACTCAGTTTCAAAAGCATGACATTAACATGATAATCTGTTGATCTAGTACATTTCTTCATTGTCGTACCTTGGCATAACTATGCATTAGACATGATACCATGGACCTGCTTGACACTGATGATATAGAATATTGACCTATAAGATATATTACCTCCGGTCCTTAATATAAGACCTCATTTGACTTTTATTTTGGTCTTAATTATAAGACCCCAATCCATTTTGTCTCTCATATTTATGCATTCTTTCCCAAGATAGTCCCTCTAATAATAGTAATTCTAGCCAATAAATTTGATTAGCAATAATATTTTAGGAAAGACAATACCTATTTATTACAAATAACTAACTTAACTTATTTCCTTAATCTCCTCAAATTAGTCAACTAACTCTTATAATTAAGACCGGAGGTAATTTCACTTTAACTGACTTTATGGACACAAAAGTAGTTGTATGTAACGTATTCAGAGAGAAGTACAAAGAAGAATAGTGAGTGGCTTATCTGGTTGTTGGAAAAGATAGGAACGGAATGGGGTGATAGAGAATAAAATGGCTAATATGATAATGGCCAAAGGTAGATTTTTGTAAGAGGAAGGCAATGAAGTGACAAAGATGTGGGAATAAGGATTGATATGCATAAGGTCATAGGTTTAGATTCTCAATTATTAAGGAATGATGATTATCATGGGAGAGACTATTTCCATGGTTATGGCCAACCAAACTCTGATTATATTTGAATAAAATCATATCTATTGGAATATGTGATGATTACTATGAGAAAAACTATATCTAGGAATTCTACGGAGTTGAAGCAAACGGGACTTGAACTTACATATATAATCAAACTCTTTTGTACCAGACTCATTCTCTGACAGCAGATACTATAGAAGATTCAATTTGCATTTAACATAGTATCATTCTATATTTGATGACATTATCTAGAACATTTGTCTGTATTTTCATATTCTAATTCTAAACAGTTCATAAATGCCAGGAGAAGGCCATAGAAAAGAGAGCTGAAGTTGTTCCTCTATCAAGATTCCCAAATTTGGCTTGGCAACTTCACAGCAACGGCAGCATCGTGCCGGTGCCGGTTTCGGTTTTTCCCAATGCAGCATCATCAAAATTCAGTTCTTCTAGCAACAATGGTGGACCAGCCCCACATCCAATCAACCCATATCGTCATAACAATTCTACCCACAATTTGTGCTTCAGTTCAACACCAACATCCACGGTTAATGACTCCCCAAGTTGCGAGTCTTAGCAGCTGAAAGATCCATGAACTCAGGTTTGTTCTCTTTCTCAGTGGATCCATAAATGATTTGGTGAGCAATAAAGCTTCACTATAAATAGTAGTAGCAAGTTGTGATTGTAATGATTCTGGCAAAAACAGAAAAAAAATTGTGATTGTAATGAACAATGAAGCATTGTTAATTACAGCGCCAAACTACTGAACTTTACACTCCTTCTGGTGTAGAACGTTATATTCCATCATAATTGAGGTCTTTTTTTCTTTTTTTCTTTTTTAAATTAACCACATCGTGTATGATGAATTTGTGATTTGGTAGGAGCCTATGATAAATACTTATGGGAATGAGTCTGCCTTTTTTTTAAAAAAAAAAAAAAATTGTTATGGATGCAATCTTTAATTCTAGCTATATTTTTTGTGTGTGCGGGCGCATATTTAAATTATCCAACTTTTGATTTGAAAATAGTATAATACTAAAAAGAAAAATTGTTTTGCAACAGTTATTTTAATGCAACAAATGCGTTTGTACCAGTTTTCCAAACTATTACTAAAATGGGTGTGGCAAAATACTTTGTAGTGGCTTTCAGTTAAACCTTCTACTAAATTTAGTAATGGTTTCTAACAACAGTTGCAAAATAGTGTTAATAACTTGTTGTAATTAAGGACGGCGCATAATAAAAAACATACGCAATCAATTAGATTTCAAACTTTGATTGTAGAATCCTAGAATGTTTAATTGTGAACCGTGTGACTCTCAGTAGCACTGAAATTCTGTTTGGTATGAGGGAAATCGAAAGGAATGGAGGAAAAGAAAAATTTTAATGAACTCAATTTGAAAAATTAGATAAGTGTGGTTAAAAGCTTTTAATTAATTTTTAATACTCTTTTATATTACTTCTTATTTTTGTTAAAATTTTAAAACCCCACTTCTCTAACTTTTCAAATCAGGCTTATTAAAATCTTCTATCCCCTCCTCTTTTTTTCATTTATCTCATACCAAACATTACCTAAGAAGCAATAATTGATGTCAATAAGAGGCAGCAGTTGATGTCATTGAACTAGTAAAAATGTGTGATCTCCTATTTCTACCCTTCATTGAAATTAATGACAATAAATAAAGTCTTGTTTAGAAATTAAAAACATGCCAACAACTTGTTGTAATTAAGGAGGGATAAGATTGGGAAAAAAAAATTTTAATTGCCACATTTTCCTTCCTATATTTAGGAATAAATAGTACATAAGAACTTGGCCACAAATGGTTAGGACAAAGGGATTATCTATGTTTTAGGCATTCAAATTGTACCATGTTCATCTATATATTACTCCCTCCATTTTTCATCTAATGGATGAGATCTTCAGTCCAGAGAAAGTGAAGGGACACGCAATCTGAGGGAAGCCAACTCCCTCCATCCGTTGGTGGACTCAAAAATTAGTTGGGGGAGAAAAAATAATGCCCAATATAAATACCGATTATTTTAAAATATATTCATAATTAGTCTGGCAATAAAATTTATTAAAAATTAGATGTTAAGAACTAATTATGACGACAATTTTAAAAAATAAAATTATATCATTATAAGAAGTATTTGTGTTAAAAGTGATAAAATAAGTATTAACAATTGGAATAATGATTTATAAGTTTTTCATATGAATAACCAAAGCTTTCTAAATTACTATGAAGTGTTAATTTACGAGAAAATTCAAACTATGCCGTAGAATAAAAAATTAATTTATGAAAAAGTAAATTTTTAAAAAATAGAGAATATATCAATATTGTTTCTTAAATACCACATTTTTTGTTCCTGTTAAAGCATAGGTATTCATTTATTAAAGGTAATCATATTCGAGGCACTATCGAGAGTCAAATGTGGACACCTCTCCCAGCTTGAATCTGAACCTTCGTTCGTTATGATGTGAGAGATTAGCTCTTTTTACTAGATCCAACTGTTAGTTAAATATCATATATATATATTTGCTAAAGCATAGGTATCCTCCTATCGGAAGCAATTCTATTCGAGACACTGTCAGGCACTAAATGTGGGTACCTTTTTCAATGGGGATTCGAACTTTAGTTCCTCACGTTGTGAGGAATTAGCCCCTTTTACTACATCCAACTCTCATTAGTTAAAATACCCTATTTTTGTTCCCAAGAAAATCATGTTCGGGACTTCGGGTATTTGGGCTAGCTCATAACTGAACAAGTTGGGTCAGAGTTTTTTTGCGCCTATTCAGGCCAGTTTGAAAAGTTCATTTATTTAAAAAAAAAAAAGAATTATAATCAAGTCCCATAAAAAAAATAATTACTAAAAAATTTCAATAACAATCTCAACAGTCTATAATAACAAATCCCACAGTGAGAATGATAACCTTTGAGACTTGTTTTTTAATTATTTTTCTTGCCTAGAATCTCATTGTAATTCTCCCTTAAAAAAATAGAGGTTTTTTTTAATGTTTCAATTTTTCTGGGTTATTCAAGTTTAATCTAAATAATAGGCTCTAGTTTTATGAATTGCCTGGAGAAATCGACATCAAGGAGCTCTAGTTATTTAATATTTATAGAGAAAAAAATACGTTTCGCAAGACCACATTCACGAAAGATTCCTCTAAATGTTCAACATTTGTATTAGGGTTAATTAATCCGTAAGTCTTTATAGTTTTAACAAATTTTAAATCAGGTCCTTATAGTTTTTTATCTTTTTATCAGGTCCTTATACTTTTACCTTTTTTTAATCAGGTCCTTGTATTTATTTTTCTTTTAATTAAGTCCTTATAATTTCACTAAATTTTTAATCAGGTTCACGTAGTTTTAATTTTTATTTATTAATTAAATATAAGCTTAATTAAATAGATTAATGCTGAAATATAAAATATTAATAGTTAAATTAAATTAATAATTATGTAATAAAAAAGTAATAGAATTAATTAATTCAGGAAATTTTTTTAGAACAATTAATTTTTTTGCTGAAAAAATTAAAATCATTATAATAATTCAATATCTTTAGAATATTATTGTTTATAAACTAATATTAAATAATATATACTATTTTATGTTTATATAATAGTACTATTAGAATTTATAAAATAAAAAATAAAAAATTCAGGGACTTAATTAAAGATAAGATGAACTTATAAGGACTTGATGAAAAGAAAAATAAATACAAGGACCTAATTAAAAACAGATGAAAATATAAGGACCTGATAAAAAGAAAAAAAACTATAAAGACCTGATTCAAAATTAGTTGAAATTATAAGAAACTGTGGATTAATTATCTCTTTGTATTATTCAGGTTCAGATAAAATAAAATGTGCAAATTAATTTCATCTACACTTTTTCCCCGGAATTTCAACTACATAATTTACACTTCCCCCCAACTTTCATATCTTTTTTTTAAATCACTTTTAGATCTGACACTTTTTTATTATTATATTTTACTAATGCTAGAGGGAAAGGAGATTTTAGATTTGTTTCTTACTTTCTTTTCATCTGGTGCATTTTAAATTTAAGAAAAAATTAATTTGTTAGTCTTATAGTTCCATTTAATTTTAAATCAAGTTTATATTAGGTCCTTATCATCTCAATTTTAGGCATTAGTTAATAACTCCTTTTACTTATTATTTGTTAATTTATGGAAGAAACAACGTTACTAATTGACGAAGCAATTCTCACTTAACACGTAACTGGATTAATTTTTTCGCATGAATCTAAATAAAATCAAAATCAATCATACTGCATATTATATATAGAAGCAATGAAATCAATATAAGTATAATTTTTTATTTTACGTTAACAAGAAAAAAATTATTTTTTGACCAAAAGAAATAAATTTTATTTAATCATTTAATTGTTTAATTTTGTACTCCTCCGATATTAAATATAATACTCTTTTTATAGTGTAAATTACACTACAAAAAGAATATTGTATTTAGGACAGAAAGAATATTTTGTCACAACTTATATGCCGTTTTGTTAGCATTTGCATCACCTCTTGTTAGGTAACAGATGATGAGTAGAGAAAATTATAAAGAGAGCAATGACCAAAAATGCTGCAAGATCTAATTAAAATTTAGATTAAACTACAAAAATTGATGAATTAATTTTTCCTAAATTTAATTATCAAAAACTAAAAATAAAACATGACGCCGTACTCTCAATCGTCAGATCAGTTGAATGGCGCAGGTCGTTTGGTTTGAATCTTGTGAAGCCATAGGCGTGGCTGTAGATAATCTGGATCCCTAAAACGATCCGGCGGGGGAGAACAAAACCGGCGCGGCGAACTCACACTCCGTGCTCTGCGAAACCAAGAAGATGTGGCGCACGTTGGACGCCCACCTCAGGACTCTGCGACTTCCTTCCTCGCTTTCTTCCTCAACCCTGACCTCTCCATATTCGTCTTCTTCTTTATGCACAATTCTCTCTCAGTCTCGCAGGGTCAAGCCTCAAACCCTCATTCCTCCCAAACCTCAAGCTTCTCTCACTTTTCTCAGAACCTACGTACCCTTAGCTGACTCCTCCATTTCGTCTATTCGACCGACGAACTATTTCGGGTCGAGTTTCGGTTTTCTGGTTGTTCGGTGCGTTTCTTCGGTCACTTCCGCTAATAACTTGACCTGGAATGACTCCGTCTCTTGCTCTGAGGTTGCCGAAGGTGATGATGGGACCGTCGAGGAGTATACTAAACTTCATATTCCTGTCAAGGCTTATTTCTTTTCAACCAGGTCTGAAATTCTCTTTTGGAAATGAATGAAACTGGTTTTGTCGTCTTGGTTTTTCTTTATATTTGTTGATTATTAATTTAATTTGAAGTTACATGTTGCATTATTTTCAATTCTGAAATATAACGTATTACATGTGTTGAATGTTCATCTGAAATGAAAATAAAGTTTTAAAGCGAAATGATTCAAGAAATGGACTCTCGATGGTCAATTGATGAAGTGACTGGACGATATAATTGCATGCTGATTTATATTATTTCTCACTTGCCTTTCTACGGATGCAGTGTTGATTTAAAAAGCTTGGTGGAACAGAACAAACCGAATTTTGTCCTGCCATCATCACGGATGACTAACTATGTTGTTCTCAAGTTTGGCAATCTTTTGGATTCCAGGGTATGTATCACTCGACCTATTCTCTTGGAGTATGTTTAGAGGCAAAAAAAATTATTTGTATTCACTATAACTTAATATGTTGTGTTGGATAAAGGATTTAAAGTAATAGATACTTTTCATTATGTAAGAGCAGGAAATATTTAGTCAAATGGCTTTTCTTGTAT